TGCTACTCAGGAAAAAAGACTGGCAGTTACTTCCTACTTCTTGGAAGGTGCTGCGTGGTTTCTTGAGAAACATGAGTACACTTCTTTTTCCTGTCAACATACATTCAAGTTGCCGTTCATAAGACGCCGCTCGAGAATCAGGCTACTCTCCCCAAGCCAGAAAAAGCGCGGTGAACCAGGTACCTCCCTGTCTAGCTTGTTCTGCGTGTCAAACAACAGGCCTTGCTGTTCGCGCAACATGCGCGCTGTCCAGAACCGGTCCAGGCCCTCTCGGATGCAGCGACTCGCAGCGTCATACACACGGGCAACATAGCCTCCACCGGATGATGTGTCCGCGGACAGACGAGGACCCCCCGCAGCATAACGTCCATCCTCAGCATCAAGAGTGCCCCCCCCGATACTAGAGGATGCAGATTTATTTTCCTCCCAGATTCTCTGACACTCGGCAGCCTCTGCCTCGTTTTTGAATCCTCTGCACAAGAGCAGTTCCTCTTCCTCCTCCAGTTCCTCCTCCAGAGCAAGAAACGCGTCGCGTTGCCGCACGCCATGGAGGCAGTCTAGCAAATTCTGGCGCGGAAAGAGCAAGGAGATCAAAGTTTGCGCTTCGGCTTGAGGGAGTGCTCGCCGTCCTCTCCTGAGCATGGTCTCCTCCTCGATCGGCTTAGCGAAACTGCCAGTCATGTGATAGTATGAGAACGCTTCCATCGTCGGTGTCCGAGTGCGCGAGGATGTTGACGCTCGACGACTTCTATTTGACGCTAGTACTGGTGAACCGTGTTGTTGTTCCCGTGCGCCTTGAAGACGTCTTCCGTGCCCTTTCTCACCGGCTCCCTTGATCCCACCAATGATCGGTTGCTGTGAAGTTGCTGACATTTTTGACATTTTTGCTCCTACTTGCGACGACGACGCTCCTCCAAGGCCACTTGATGATGTTTGTGCTGTAGTTTCTTCATTTAGTACAACATCAACAGGACGACCCGTATTTGCAGACCTTAGTGCTTGAAGATGACGAGTGCTGTACTCTCTACCGGAATTATGGTGCTGCTGCTGCTGCTGCTGCTGCTGTCCTGGAGCGAGTTGTGGCCCCTCGACGCTGTACTGGATGTTGTGGGCCGCTTGAGGGACCTGCTGTCCTTGAAGATGTACACGAGAAGGAACAGGCATAGGACGAAGTGGGTCAGGCGTAGTCCTCTTGTGCACTTGAGTATGGTACACCTGCTGAGGCACGAGAGGGACCTCTGTAGAGCTTCCATGCAGAACTTCTGACGGCCTCTTTCCAAATACTGGTGTTTGGGGTCGAACAACAGGTGCGGTCGCAGGGCGAAGTACAGGAGTCGAAGACCGAACAAGAGGTTTGCTCCCATCTCCATCAAGGCGCGCCGCTTCTACTCGAAGCGCGGCCCCTTCGATGATGAGGATTAGTACAGCGAAAATCCAATACATCTTCACAAATACACTACTGACCTTAATATCAAAATAATTTTAGTATTCTTAGTTGCTCTCAATTTAAGTTAGAATAGAATAGTTAGAATAGCTCCTGCCTCAGAAAGTAGATATAAAACAAAAAAACTCCGGCGAGACCGTACGCGTTGCCCGGAGCGCATGAATACAAACAAACACAAGTAGTTATCGGTGTTGTTTATTTCTTGCGTGATATCAAAAAAGAATGAATTATCTTTCAAATCGTCATCTAACAACCGAAATCATGTTCTTCCTCGTTATAAAAAAAGAATAAATTATCTTTCAAATCGTCCTCTTAGTGCTACCTAAATCATACATCCATGTCAATTTCACTTTCAAAGTCACGACTAGCAGAAGCAATTACAGCATCTTAAGTTCATGATTCTAGTACAACGTGGTGCAAGATCATACAAGTAAATGTCCTCTGAAGGGAGACAGTTTTAGAACTTCTCTTGCAAAAAACTCACAACGTTGGAAAAATAATCCTCACCCTTCTTATTCCGAATGATCTTCACGGCCGTTATTCTTTATAATATGTTGAATACTGAGTGCCTCTACCTCTACTTCCTTGAAGCGATTTTCTACACCACTTCCTGGCAATCGGCCTGCACAGAAACCCAGTATCTACTTATACTTTGCTAATACTTACCAATGTTGTACACCCAACAGTCTCTTTTTCTTTCGTCAAAAAATCTCCATGTCATGGCTCCTCCTTGTTATACTATTATTATCATACGGCCCACAAACATGAGTTATAGAATCGCGCTACCCTTAGTTGTCCTTGATATGTGTATCCTCACGGCCTTGTTTCATTCTTTGACTCCATTCACAATGATGGTTGTTCTAGAAGCAAATATTGATACAAAGTAAAGATTGAGGCTACTCAAGACCTGCGTCAGATAAGTACAACCTTCTTATACACAAAAACGAGGCAATAGTGTCTAAGTCTATCTACTCCTTGATACTGGTGTATTCACTTATCTTTTAGAAACGCGATCCCTGTATCTTATGATTCATTAATGAAAATTACACTTTCTACGGACGTCGTTATGTATCATTCTCCTAGTATGCTTCTACGCGACGCACCCGAGTCAACAGACAGCAAGAAACAATTCACAGCCGAGAAAAGTGGAGCTGAGCTCCGAAAACCCAGGCTGCTGAAGAGCCCTACAGTCCTGTAACGCTTATTTTCTCTAAATCTATCTTGCCGAACCCAGCTGGTGTTGTCTAGCTGGTGTCTTCTGCTAGTATTAGTAGTAATAGTAGTAGTGGTAGTAGTAGTAGTAGTAGTAGTAGTAGTGTGCCCATTCGTGGGGTATTATTGAATGCATTGCATCTCCGAAAAGGTCATTTTTACATTGGTTATCTCCGAAAATTCCACACTAACAAGCGTGTGCGAACTCGTCAAGATATTTGTACATCTATTAGTTAACATTCGTCCGCTCCAAAGATAACTCTTACCAACAGGCAAAAGTAGGCTCCGGAGATCTTCTCGTTTCCTGTGATCCTAGTACAAGACTATTTTTCTAGATTATGGCACCTCCATTCCTAGGATGATTTCACTAAAAGGCAAAGAAAAGCAATGACATGAAAAAAATAAAACTCCGCTGCTGCAGCCTCGTTCGCCAATTAGCTGACTCCGAGTAAGTAAACAAATTTTGTCTCCGACTCCTGTGGGCAATTATAGACTCAGACTCACAACACACATAAAAAGCGAGTAGCACTTCAATGATGACCATAAAAGCTATATGCGTTGTTTCTCGTTCTTTTTACAACAGGACAAAAAAACTGCAAGACCGGAAAAAAAAGTCGAACAAGTTGCACTCCTTTTTCTAGTCCAGCGTCAATAAGAAAGGTGTCCCGGTTGTTAGTGCTGAATGATTCTTACCTCCGTAGAATCGCCAGTAGCTGATTAACTGTTAAACTTGTAGGTCATAGGAACGTTAGCAAGGTTCTTGTTTTTGGTACTAGTAGACACATCGTTCTTATATTCATGCATTCATTCACTTACCTGTTCTGGAGGTATCTTTTGACGCATGAGCAACATATAACTTAATTAATGCTTGCACGCTTCCTTCTTCTTGGCACTTTGAAGAACAAATAAACTAAAAACCCACTTATTATTTATAGTTTTTTCCACCCTCTTGTTATGCGTTTTTTGGTTACTCTAAGATTTTTGAGCCCCCTTTTTACATCTCCGCATGTGCTTTCTCAATCGGTCCACCCTACTAGAGAGTGCTTGAGTTGTCATTATTACCATATATAAACCATCAACATTAATAGGAACAAGGCAAAGATCAGTCGGTTGAATATTTACGATAACTTATTTGCTTTTTCTAGTCCAGTCTTGGACTAGTCCAGTCTTGGACTCAACCCCTCGTTGAGACTCAAATTATGTTAGAAGGCGTGTGCCCACGCAGAGACTATCCCAAATCACTGCCGTAGGTAACTACTCAGAACAACAACCCTGAACCCGAATAAAAGAGAAGCTTTTGCACGAGTATTGCGACGGTGCGAGCCGTGTTGACCATCTAACTACCTCGGTCTAACTGATGTAGCTAGTCTGCTTGTAATAGCTTCTATTGAAGATTCTCCCGAAGGCCTTTCTTGGTTTAGTCAATACAATCCCTGTCCTGTTGTAGTTGTCGTAGAGCCTCAACCACGATCCCAAACTTTTACACTCCCTGCCACCTAGTTGCTGTAGTGCCTTGGCCTCTTGTCCTACGGACATCAATCGATTGTAATTTGTAAGTACTAACTTCGTAGTACTGGTCAATTCTGATTAGTTGCACTTAGTCTACTGACGTTGTTGTACTATACCGCACTGCTTGCTATTTCATTCATGCTCTGCTAGTATTATCTGTCGATTCGGATTGGACCTATTACCCTGAGACGTAATTGTAGAAAAGCACAAGACAGTTTGACTGTCCAAAACGTGCTAAACTATCTTTAGACGATCTATCTACTTATAGCTATAAAAATATTACAACATGTACTTAGAACTAGTATTCTTCATTGTGAAGTAGTACAAGAATATGGATAGAGACATCATCATCTTTCGAAAGAACACAGTAAAACAGCAATGCTAACTTGATTCAAAGAAGTGATCTCGTCGAGGTAATGCTATCAGAACAGATTTCTAAAATATAAGTATACTCTCGAAAAATATTCAATCCGGAATACCAAGAACCCTGTCGGTTGGTGGTATAGCACAAAATAAAACCTGCAGTTTTGTTGATTGGTTGATTCATTTGGTTGATTGAAGATGTGCACTTTCTCACGTGGGAAGACTACTGTAAAGATTGGCGATCGAGACCTATTGAACATGAGCATCATCTTGACATATAATATCACGCTGCAGAATGTTGAGATCATGCGTGCTGCTTGATGTTCACATCATTTTCAGTAGACTCTTGATTTTGCGCTGCCAAAGTTTGAGACCGATTTCCGCGACAGAAAGGCTACTCAACTGAAAAGTCATCGCGTCGATGCTGACTTGGCATATCAGGCTTATTGTCATGCTCTCAGCTATGCTTGTCTGACGCTGATTTCGCATAAGCGATCTTCAACAAGATGAATGTGCTCCCGCAATCAGATGGTTCGTTGGAGAAGTCACTGTAGTTGCTACGGCACTGCACCACAGTGCGAACAAACGAAAAAATGAAGAAACGATCTCACGACAGTCGGGAGAAACGGCGTCTCGTCAAAGGAAAATATTAAGAACTTGCGACCGGAAGATTCTGACTCGCCATTTGTGTGGTAAAGATGTGGTGATCCACGAAAAAATACTAGTAGCGCTATAACTTCGAAAGAGCTTCTTGCTAAAACGGAAGCTAGAGCTTGCTAAAACGGAAGCTAGAGCTTGCTAAAACGGGAGCTGGAGCTTGCTAATTCGGAAGCTGGAGCTTGCTAAAACGGAAGCTAGAGCTTGCTGAAGCTAGGTCTTCTTTTGGTCATGGATGCTTGCACCGCCTTCATCAGATCGTCTGACTGCAGAAGCGCACCGTTCAAATTCCGAACAAACTCCAATCCCTGTTCCTCGCTGTTCTCAGCGCTATAGAGCAACGTTTGCTTGGTCCCATATACCGCGACAGGTGATAAAGAAGAGATTTCCTGTTGTGGAAGCAGAGCAGGGTACGAAATAGAAGACGATGACGAGGATCAACATACGTGCTGGGTAGAATGGCCGAGGAAGACGACCATCATCAAGGAATCAAACTTATTTCAATTAAGTATTTAATATTTATCGTACCATAGCAGTCTTGTACGCCATCCCTTCCAATTCACTTTTGTCATTGCTGTCCAGCGTCTCGCAAAATCCTAGCTTTTGATCGGCAACTGCACCGGTAAAATCCCTTCCAGTGTAGGCCAAGACGGTCAGGAGGGAACTATTTCCATTGGCTAGCCGTGGCATGCGCTGGAGGGCGCCTAAGTCAGCTGCCAAACCCATGCGTGGCTCGCGAATGCTCAACACGCAATCTGCAGTACAGTACCGAATGTCGCAAGCGGAAAGAAGGAACATGAAGGTGACGTCAAATACTTCTGCCTTTGTAAGTAGACAGTGGTAAGTACAGTCGCCAGTACAGTAGGATCCTCTGTTCTTTCAAGTGCAATACTTTTCTCAGTGAGTTACTACAAAAAATACGTCTTCAAGGATACCAACTCGTCTTCATTCAGATGCAACAGTACAAAGCGCCAAAATTCCTAAGTTCCAACGCTGCTCCTATGCACATTTTGTAAGCTACTCCTATTACGGGTTTCGTGCAGCGCCTGACTGCAAGAAAAGCTTCCTGCATCATTTTGATGCCTCGCGTCATCGCAATTGCATCCCGTGCCACGTCTTTTTCTCTCTTCGGTGCCATGCTCGTGAGCGTCTCCAGGTCTATTCCAGCCGAAAACATCCGACATTCGCCTCCAAGCAACATCACGCAGCGTACGTCGTCATCACTACTCAATTGCTCGAAGAGGGTTCGAAGCTCCTGGAACATGCAAGGCTTAGAGAGGGTACTAACTAAAGGAGATAATCCGAGCAGCAGTATACTGTACGATAATATATGTATCAGAGAACATCAAGTCTATGATGTTTATAAGATCTTCTTCTCTGGCCAGAACTATTTTTACAACCAAGCCTGAATATTAAGTACCTAAATATGTGCCTTTGGACTACTTGCATACCGCCTTAAGTGACTACTGAATGAACAGCGGACCACCGGTGCCTCTATACCTAGGATAGGATAGGATGGGATCCATCTAAGATAGACTTAAAGTGCCTTAACCATTGACAGAGAATTCATTTTGGATGCTCGATTCAACAAGACTTGGGCGACGCCGGTTTCATCCACTCCAACACGCAGTGTCTTCAGGGCTGCGCTGTACCCAGGAGCGCGCAGCGACGAAAACTCAGGAAGACCCGAGGACGGAGCAGTGGGTACAGACATTATGTTTATATTCAATATGTTTGTAGTCCTTGTCGTTGTGTTGTTGCGGTGTTGTTGCAGATTGTGAGTACACTAGCTACTGGGTGAGTAGTCTACTCCTCCTCGTAACAGGTCAGTAGTTGTTGTAGCTAGTGGTCAATTCTCTTTAAAAACAGCTTCTCTTGTAGCGGTTAAAAAATCAGTGTCCTGACACTTCGAGGGACCGACATTCGAAAGAGAAGTCGCGTGATGCAACTCTTGTAAGGTCTCATGTAAGAGATGACAAAAAATATCCCTGAGGTGAACGGGAATCCGTTTACGCTTCCGCTAGTTGTACTAGGTGGATCCTAACGAGCCAGGCACTGAAGTTTACCTGGTGATTCTGTGGTTCGGCAATGATCCCCCTTGCTTTCACAACAGGTACAAAAGCTTCTCTCTTTACTCAAAGGAGGTCGTTGCTTTGTGAGGACTATAACTATATTGACTTTACTGCGATCAACGAATATCTCCACAATCACACATGGGGTGGGTTCCTAGAGTTTGTCTTAGGGTTCCTAGAGTTTGTCTCACGTAGTGGTCTCATTGAAGACCTCAATTTTTCGCATCCTCGCCATCGCCTTGTTCCACTGGGTTAATCTCTGGACGTTCCCTGGCTTCCAAAGCAGCAAATCGACTGCAGAGTTGATCGAAGTCGGCCTGTGCCAATGCGAATCGCCTTTTCTCTTCCTCCGTCTTCACGAAAGCACCCCACTCCTCACGAATTAGAAAAGCTTATCTAAGAGAAGGAAAGCCGTTCCAAGAAGATGCTTTTTAAGATCAATTTTCAAGAGTATGAGCCTTAAAAGAAGGAGCCGTTGAGATCGGATAGTATTCTGCATTTTTATCAGGTCTGTGTCGATTTCGATAGTCCTCATTTCGCAATGGAGTCCAACCTCCTCTGCGCTATGGCGGCTGCTCGGTGGGAGATCCATGATTGGAAGACTCTTTTTCCGATTAAGACTAGATCTTTATGGGATGTTCGACCTTCTTCCTCGTTCTTCTTGCATGTATCTCCGTCTGTGCTTCATTGTAGAGGTTGAGAAGAAAACTTTTCTCGAGGGAATCAATTGAAAAGACAAAATGAAAACCCATTTGCTTTTCGAGGTGCCAAACCCGTTTGCCTCCGCAGCCCTCGTTTTTTCTCTCTCTGAATTTGTTCTCATCCTCAAGCACAACAGTCCAAAATCTATTTGAACACCCACCAGGTAAGTACTTGCCTGCTTTTTGTTTCTGTAAAAAGACGGTGCGACTGTGCGTGATAACTTTATCAAGGAATCAGTAGAAAGGAATCATAACAAAACTTTGGTGCTTCAGAAGAATAAGGAGGACTTATTCGGCGTTAGCTCCTCTTCAGGAAATAGAGTTCTGGTAGTTCTGCTAGATAAATTGTTTTCGTACAACATGATCGTGCTCCCACTCGAGCCTCTCCGCCTCACGTGAGAGATCACATGGCGCTCCAAAATGTATTTTTTCTTCTCCACTATCGCATCCACCTCTACATCATCATCTTCACGAGCATCCTCCACGTCCTCCATCCTCGCGCTTTGTTTCTTCCTTCGTCTTCTTCGTCTCCCATCACTACCAGTCTCCTTGTCTTCATGTGTGCACTCTTTTAATCGTCCTTCGTGAAGACAGTCGTAGGAACACAATCTTCCTCCCGGTCTATCGCTATCGGTCTCCTTGCAAATCAACTTAGAAAGGATAACGCTCGCCGCAACAACAGCCCCTTCATTCAAACCGTGTAAAGCTACTTCGCGAGGCGGTGCTGTGATCGCCGGAGGCTCAGGAGCCACGTTAGCTGGTAGAGCCGACATTGGCCGACCATAAACGTAACGTTCGAGGTAAGCTTGGGCCTAGGAATATTCTTGATGTACCATAAAGTACCACGATGGACAAAGTATCACGATGCGGGAGAAAACTAGTGGTTGATGTACAACCGTGTAGTTCGAGAGGAACAAATCATTCTAGTAGAACCAGCGACAGCTAAAAGCCCTCAAAAAGTACTAAGATCACAAAAGAAAATGTCACCACTATTTGAGAGTGGAATACTCAGCAGCAGACTACCTGATTCGCTAGATTTGCAGCTAAATTCGTTTCTTGCGCCATGTTCACTGCTAGCGCCATTGCGTTTTGACCAGCGCTGGAGGCTGCGTGGATCGCCGCAAGCGCCTTTTGACCACGACCAGACAACAACTGCCGCATCGCAGCATCATTATCTTCTGAGTTCGCATCCCAAAAGGCCGTATACAGCGACGACGTGTTTGTTGTGCGCATTTTATTTGTAGAGGGACGAACGAATTAGAATTTAGTTGTTCAGCACTGATGAAGGTGTAGTTCTAGTTCTTTACGGGGTATCTAGTAGTCATAACTGTCGCCGGGCTGAAGAAACATCAAAGGTCAGCAGGTTCTGTAAAAGTTGGGTCTGGGTGGTTGGCGAAATCGATCTTCGACTACTTGTCGCTTAGCACCGACAAAGATTCACGCACTACCAGGAATACCATCCGAGGAATGCAAATCCGACCTCATCAACTTCGTTCCGATATCTACTTGAAGATGTTCTTCCACGACTTCACCGATAAGAAAATTGGCTAGCACAAAACGAGCGAGAGGCGAGAGATATATCCACGACTTCACCGATAAGAAAACTGCCTAGCACAAAACGAGCGAGAGACGAGAGATATATCCACGACTTCACCGATAAGAGAATTGGCTAGCACAAAACGAGCGAGAGGCGAGAGATGATTCGACTGACATTGCTAGTACAGGATAAAAATTCTAACTTCAACTTCTTGGGAATAGTCTGATTTCTATCCTCGTTACACCGATGTAGTAACTTTCGGCGATCGCGCAGGTCAGCTCCAAAGGTGCTGCACCAGATGTTTTGCCGGAGGAATCGTATGAAGCGGAGGAGTGGAAACGATTCCTCCAGCGCAACTGTTGTTTTCGCTGGAGGAGTGGAAAGCAAAGAAGGTGCTGCGCTGGAGGAGTCAAAGAACAGCTGCGCATACTGGAAAGCAAAGAACAGCCCGCAAAGAGTGGAAAGCAAAGAACAGCTGCGCATACTCGCAAGTTGTTTTCGCTGGAGGAGTGGAAAGCAAAGAAGGTGTTGCACTGTGCATTTCCTTTGCTTTCTGTTCAGACTTCTGTTCCTCGAAAAAACTAGTCTGACATGTCGAGAATGAGTCTGTCCATGATCTGTCGAGTCTGTAGTTCATGGAAAGACTGCGCATCAACACCCTCTGGAAAAAATAAGAAACTGTATTTATATTTTCAACAAAATATAATCGTCAAAGTACCCACATCGACAGAATCATGATCATCATGTGGCAGAAAAATAAGCCGGAAACTTGACTCCTGCTGCTTTCAAAGTCTCAATGGCACCACGAAACTGCGCAAATGTGTTTCCCGCCATACCTTTGCTCGGACACCAGCACTGACCCATAGGTGCGGGGTTACAACTCTCGTTTTTCACTGCGTAAATTCCGTCAAAACAGCAATATTGTCCACCAGGGCAGTGATCCTCCAGGTACCTGTAAACGGAAACAGTTGCATGGGGAAGTGGTATAGAGAAACGTAGGGAATCTTCAGAAACATGAAAAATACACAATTCGATTTATGTATTGTTTATCATTGCCGTGTAGAGATCAGAGTATAGACTTACATCCTTTTTGCACATCACAGAATTTTCAAAATCTGCTAGAAAATAACATTTTCACGGAAAATTAGTCGCATCTTCAACTTAATAGTATCACTACTTTGATAAAAATCAATACAGGACATCGATGAGCTTATAGATTTCGGGGCTTTGCGCAAGGCACGGCAAAATGTCCCATTCGGCGCCCTCGACGTCGAGTTTCAGCACAAGGTGATCCTCGGGAAGGACCCCTTCCTTCAGCCAACGCATAAGGTTGATCAGCTTCACCGGCGTTGGAACCCTTTGGCTCTCACTCTGTTTAAAAATGTCAGCATGCGTGCTGTCGATCGCGCTACCTTTAAACCGATCAAATGATTGATTGAAGTACTTAGTTTCTGGGGTCTCAAACATCAGCTTCTTTCCGTTTACAACAAAAAATACTGGCAAAAGAAGGTAGTGAAAGTAGGTTCGCGAGCATCAAATACAGAAAATGGTTCTACCTCTAGCATGCGGGCCCTGCGTGTCCAGATGGAACAGTTCCTGTTCCTTGTCGCACATGTAGACTGCTTGTTGAACCATCGGAAAGATTTTCCCTGGAACCTTCTTTGCGATTTCGTTCAGGCTGCCTTCAAATGCTTTGTTTGGTTCGACGAGGTAGCTGAGGCATTCCTTTTTCGGCCAATTCCCAGTGTCGTACTTCAACTCCGTACCGAGAATATGAAGGAGGGTGGGCAAAAGACAGGTAGTGTTGTAAGTAAGCTACTGTTGAAGGGAGATGGGAAGTTGTATGTGAGTATTCTCAAATTTTTCCCACCTCTCAAATTCTTATGGAAATATTCTAAAAGTAGAACTCTAAGTCGTATAGAAGTATAGTTCTGTTCCTTCCAGTACTCGATCTTGAAAATGAAAATCATAATAATAATCGCCACTTCCACCTGACTCGCCGAGGAAGGCGAGCTCCGAGTCGCCGCTTCCCGCTCCGACATCAAGAAAAAAGCACATTGGGCCACGCGCGGTCGGTGGTTTCCATGCTGTATTTGCACTCTCGCAGGCACACGGTGGCCCGTTCCCTTTCGTGCGTCCTGCTGCGAAACTAATTTGTTGTTGCTCACTCGGAGTCGGATTCGACGACGACTTCATCTGGTTACTAACATTCGTTGTTTGACTCGGATTTGACGATTCCAAGTTAAGATTCCTATGCACCGTTGTAGGCATTGTTGTAGCTTGGTGCTTGGTAGTCTTCGTAGTTGCAGCGGGTCCTCCATTTTTTCTGCTCCTTCGGAGGAACGAACCAAGTCTCCCTCTGCCTTCAGTTTCCCGATTCGCGGAAAGGACAGCCGCTAACGATACCCGCGACTCGGCAACCACGGTAATCCCGGCAACTAGCACACTGCATCTCATTGAGGCGACTTCCGCCCCACGGCGCCTCATATTGATGTTGTTTTCTCAATTATAAATCACTTGGTTCTATTTTAACGGGTTTACACGCAACGAAACGAATAACAAAATGAAGTCACAACAAGACATTCGTAATTTTTGTTGGCCCTTGCTCAATTTCGACCCCACCACTCTCGGCGTTCCTGTTTTGGGCGTGCATTTCATTTTCTTTTTTCACAGGAACAAAAATGCACAGCAAGAATTTAACATGCTGGCGTGACTTCTAAAAATTTCCTTATGCAGGTAGTCGTGGTCTACTTTTTTCGCGCGGGCACAACTTTTTTTCAAATGTTGCAACTCACTTATCCACCATGCACAACCCTGCTATCATTGTGCGTCATGATGAAGCGTATGTAGTTTGCGACACGCAACTTTCCTTTTGGCCGCCAGAAGGAGTCATAGTACAAGACCTCTATGTGTTGAACAAGAACTCTATATGTCAAAGTGCTATCTGTGTCTTAGGGCTAGCGCTACTCATCAATAAGTCGTGCATACGATTAAGTGTTCAGTAGTTGCAATAGTTGCATTTATAATCATTACTAGTAGTTCTTGCATAAAATACATTGGGTCTTTTAATACCAAGAAAATGTGTTGAAACGGGTAGTTCTATATGTGATTCGACGCGAATGAATGGTGCGTGAGGGTCATCTTTTTGACAACGTGATATCGTGACCAATGCTGTAGAGTACTATGTTGGGTAGCCAAGTGTTCTCTAGGTAAAGATGTATACCCTTCACTGAAGGCGACAACGCGTTGCCGCCTTCCGCGTGCTGCAGAAACGAGCAGAATCCCACATACAAAGAACTTATATAAATGTGTACGCATGTAGATTAATTGATGAATTTGTCCTATATACAATTTTGAAAAGAGAACGATACAGTAGTTTTTGAAATTCGTATAGATACAGTAAGGCATTTCCCTTTGCGATTATTAACAGAAGTCGTGCAACTACGTCGAGGAGCAAATGGCACGTCTCCCATCTTCAAATACAAACGACTTGTCTTCATCGAATTCCTTTAATTTTTGCACTTGCTGCTAGACTTTCTAAAGTCTTTACTCCTGGCATCGGGTGGTCTCCACCTTGACCTCCTATTCTAGCTGCTCTTGATATTCCCGACTCTGGACCCGAAAGGGCAGAAGAACCATGCAGATCTGCGCCACCACTGGAACATGGCGTTAGAGCTACCGCAGTCGTATCCTCGACCGCACCATCCTTGCGCCCTTTTCTCCTGAGAAAAATAGCCAAGGATGACGCCGAGGATGGTCCCTGGGTTGCCGTAATGGTGGAAAGACCTTCCAAAATCGTAGGGTTTCGTCGGCGCCGGCCGTAAGTAGCGTACTTCCATCGGGAGACTGGGCCATGGAGAGAATGCGGCTGGTGTGACCACAAAGCTCCGCCGCGCGCTCCATAGACGGATACCGCCACAAACTGATGCCATTTCGTGAATTAGAGATGATCCTAGTCTATAACATTCAAAAATCCCAATCTTCAGTTAGGAAGTAGCGAACGCTGCCGCACCAGTTACATCTTCCCCGGGTGTAGAGAGTATTCTTGAAGACCTCCTCTTTGTATAGTTCCGTAAACTAGAAAAAGAGGAGGTTTTCAAGGATCATTCTGTAAGGGGATGCCTTATAATGCTTCTAAGGATGCCTTGTATCATGGAAGTGGGTATCATTTTTTCTACTCCATTCATTCGCTTATTCTTTCATTGAAATGGTCTTAAGTGAAAATCCGTGACTGACAGCTAGCTCTCGACAGCCACTCTCTGCAAAACTCCACTTCACTTGCGTCACTTGTGCGTCCGTAACGACTTCCGTCACTTTGCTTCCGCTTGGAAATGAAAGGAAAAAAGGAGCTCAGAGAAAAGCTACTCAGCATAGAAGAAATAAAGCACTTGATCTATCTACTTTATGCTCATGACTACAACGCGTACTACTGATAAAAATCTCTGAAATAGTATTTCTCCACTATAATCATCAAGACGAAAGAACGGTAGTTTCTGAAGTAGCGGTCTTCAACGAGGACTTCGACTTCTTTGTTGTAATCCTCCTCCCACGTAAGTACTCACGAACTCAGGTTTATTCCATATTATATGTGAATATTGTTCTACTATCTGTGCGATAATATAACATCAATAGTACATAGGTCTAATCTAAATATTCTTTCGTAAACTTGCATTCCAGATCTTCACGGTTTGATCGTTGCTACCAGCGCCACTGGCGAGTAAATTTCGTTGCCAAGGACACCAAGATAACGCTTTCACTGCTGCTCGGTGTTCCGTCAACTGACATCTAGGTCGTGACATTTCCCGCTCGTCGGTCAGACAGATCATGTTGTCGTTACCACCACTAGCCAGCATGCTGCCATCGGGGGACCATTCCAAGCTGCATACCTGGTGATTCGTGACGTAAACGGCTGTGATTCATTCATTCATTCATTCATTCATTTACCTAGCATGAGGTACAAGTTCAGGACTTAATTAGGATGCGTCAGAAAATTCAAGCAAGAGAAGAAACGGCTGAAAGGTATGGATGCTTATCGACGAAGCACAAGACAGGTTACACTGGTCTGATAAATGTCAACACATGCAAGATAGAATAGGTCTAATAACGTAGAGTTAGCGTCTAAAAAGTCTCACAAGAAGGAAAACTATCTTGGTACCTCTTGCTGATGGAAATTTTCTCCCATCTTGGAGAGAAGATGTTCCCTCACTCGCACGTCATGGTTATGTATCTCAAAATCTTTTGACCCTGTCGACAAGAGTGGCCCGTTCCATGCCAGACTGCTTACTCTGGCAGAGTGTGTCCTAAACGTTCGCAACTGCTTGGAACGGCCTGGGTAGTTTGTTGGATGGATATGTTTTTGGAGGAGGAGTATCCTCGTTTTGAGAGGAGAATTTCAGATTCTGGGTGGGCGTCCAGGATAGTCAATGTTAGACTTTTTAATACGGTATCAATGAATGATGTTGACCCTATCTGCTCTGCAGTTGATCACCAAAACAAAATTTGATAGCTCTGTATCACGCGGAATTACCCAAATCCCAAAGTTGGGTTGTATTGTCGGATAGCCCTAGAGCGAGATGGCAGCCATCGCGGGTAAATCGGACACTGGTGTAGTGAGTCTCCACGTCTTCCGGTAAACTACAGAGCTCTGTCGTTGACGCCGTATTTCCATTCCACAAATAGATCTGAGGAAATAAAATCTATCCTGGTAAACTAAAGGAAGTACACAGGAAAGTGGACTAGAGAGATAAAGAGGTAAGGAGAAGAAAGGAGCACTCGCGCGATTTGGGCACTGTCCCTTAAGTGCCTCACGCTTCTGGCCCTCAAGTGCCTCAAAGATATCCCCTTTAAGTGACTCAAAGGCGCCCTCGCTAAGTGCCTCAAAGGCGCCCTCGCTAAGCGCCTCAAAGGCGCCCTCGCGAAGTGCCTCAAAGGCGCCCTCGTTAAGTGCCTCAAAAATGTCGCCCTGAAGTGCCTCAAGGATCTGCCCCCTAAGTGCTGCAAATGTCTGTCCCTTATCTGCTGCAAATCTGTGTCCCCTAAGTGCTGCAAACCGGTGTTAATTAAGTGCTGCAAACCTATGTTAATTAAGTGCTGCAAAGATCTAGCCCTTAAGTGCTGCAAAAGTGTGTCAGCTAAGTGGTGCAAATCTGTGTCCCCTAAGAGCTGCAAAACGGTGTCCCCTAAATGCTGCAAAGAGCTGCTGCTTAAGTGCTGCAAAGAGCTGCTGCTTAAGTGCTGCGAAAGTCGAGTTTCAAGTGCTGCAGAAGTGTATCCCTGAAGAGCCTCAACGCCATCTGTCACCGGTTAAGCGACGCACCGGGTCACTACTTAAGCGACTCCTTAGGTCACTACTTAACCGAACCATTTCAGAGTCAGGTACGGAAATACTGAAAATAACGACCGGTCACTGGCCTCTGGGAGCGAGGGGCGGGGATGCAACGTAATACAACAGTAGTCGACAAATAAGTAGAATGCAACGTAATATAAAAATATCGGTGGAGCACACCTAACTAGGAAACAAAAAACAAAAGAATCAAGTAATCCAATTAATATTTGTGGTGGAGCCGACCTAACTAGAAAAAAGACAGACCAGAGGAAGATATAGAAGAGAAAAGGGTAACTATCGACAAGTATCCTAAAGTGTATAAAAAAAGATATATTGTCCGTCGATATAAAGTAAAAAATGTTACCATCCCCCCTAGCGCCACCGCCACGATGTTTTGAGTCGACCAGTCTAACAGATTCAGGTAGAAGTCGTCTACGAGATCTGGGGCATCCAGTGTTCTGAAAGGCGTTGTCGGAATGACGCGATGCTGCGCGCCAGACGCTGCTAATCATGTTAGAGCAGAGGATCCTTAAAGAGACAGGATCCTTAAAGAGACAGGATGACTGAGTGACTCATTGATTCATTGATTCATTGATTGATTCATTGATTGATTGATTTACCTATTCGCGAGGTATAGGGGCTACCTTTTTTTGTCTTTTTGGGAAGGGAGTTGCATGTTTTTCGTGCTTGTTTTTTTACGTCCTGTTCCATTTCATCATTTGATTAAAGAGACACTCCCTTCTGCCTATTGAAAAATTGGCCAAGGATGCCTGATGGAAATGCATGTCTCGGTCTACAAATTCAAATTGATAAGGATAATTTTACAAGGAGATCGATCGCTTACTGTAAGTGATCGCTTGCTGTAATACAGACGAGATGCATTGTCCTCCTAGTCCATAACAATTGCTTTTGCGAAGTCGATGGAGCTGTCCTCTTCAGAGAATAAACGACTTTCACTTCGTCGGCACCCGTTTGCGTTGGCACCGGTGGTTTCTGGGAATACGCCAATATCCTCTCCTTCAGCAATTCGGAAGCCTGTTGTAATTATGAGAGAGTTCAACATCGCACTTGGTACTATCGAGAGAACAACATGTAAAGTCCTAAGTAGATAAAAATTTGATATGTAGTACTTACCTGTTCCTTTCCTAGACAATTTTCAGCGAGCGCATGTTCGTAGTCGGTTTTGGGCATGAAATCATCTTGTTGTTCGGAACTGAATAGTAGGCGCGAAGAGTCTGACACTATGCAGCTGCGGTTCGGTATAAATCGGTCGCCGTTCGAAATCGGATGCCCATTACTCGTCGAGATCGAGGGGCCAGTCGACGACACCGAATTCCCAGCAGATTCGGGCATTTTTTCACTTTTACATCAAGAATAAGAAATTATAGAAGTAGTGTTGTTCGTTGTACTTATTGCACGTATATAAATATGTATGTGCTGCAGTGAGTCGGCGAGTCAAGAACTTCTAGTTAGCAGCCACCTTGCGGATGCCGAACTCGCGCGCCAGGAATACCACTCCAAATGTGCAGCGCTGTACTAGTGAGAGATCAAAATCGAGAGAACGGGAGGATCAGGACAAGCTCCAGCGCTACGACTGCGCTACACAGGTCATCTTTCCCTTGTAACTCTTCAAACTTTTCATCTAGCATGCATCCTACAAAAATTGGAATATTTTTTTCGCAAGCACATGATTAGCTTCGTCTCTATTTTTTGAATGCGTCAAGAGTAGTCCAATATTTTGAGATACCACCTCTTGTAGCGACAACTTTTTATTCACGCACAAGTTTCGAATCACTGCTATAGCAGCCTTTTCTCTCGAGGTTTGACCAAACCGACATCACAGACCTTCTTGAGTACGTCGTACATACCGTTTTTAATACAACCAAATCAATATTTATTGACCACGATTGGATAAGTCTGCTTTTCGGTTCCACCATCGATCTTTGCCATTGACTAAAACCGATGATGAAGATTAGATAGAGAGACACTTTTAAGATACGACTGCATGTTTCACCTCGAGGGCAGTTTTGTCAAATAAATCGAGAACACCTAGTAGAACCTCCGACAGCATGAAACGAACTTTGCTCGAAACAATCGAGACACGAAAATAGGGCGGCGATAGACAAGCGAACTGGTGTTGTGCATGGTGCTCTGCGGTTTATTAATTAAGGATTGCTATGGTAATCCTGAGAGAAGTAGGAGGTGGGCATTCATTTTCATGAGGTATCATCGTCATAGTACATGTTGATGACCGGATTTGGGTAAGTAGAGTTGTTTATGTGTTTTTGGGAGGGGAGTTGCATGTTTTTCGTGCTACCAAGTAGAGTTTTTCCACCAACCCTAAACCCGACTTCGCATGACCACCAGCGGGAAGGTACCTTAGTGTTCTTTTCACAACTTCTGCAATGTTGTACTCGGCTGGTACGAAAAGGTAGTAGAGTCTTCACCTTGATGGAGTAGATCCGAGGCATCCGTCCGAACTCATTCGCATCTTCATCTTGAGGGAGTAGAACCGAGGTAGCCGTCCGAATAGGTTCCGGTGGAGGCGCGGTCGCGAAACGACTCCCTTCCGAGCTGTGGCCACCTTGGTAGGGAGTCTCCCGGCAAAGGCAGGTATTTCGGAGAGTTGTCGTCGTCTCGAAGACACAACAATGTTCGTTCGCGGATTGTCGGTCCTGACTCGCGCTGTTCGAGAAAAGCCAGGCCACGACGATGCAAAGACAGAAGGCCGCTCTGCATCGTGGGGACCTGTCGATACGTTGTATGTGCGAGCACTTCGAGTTGAGTCAAAAATCTCGCAAGATGCTGAAAACCGAGAAATTCAATCGGATACGTTTCCATCTTCAAAAAGGGGAAGTCCTCTTCGATGTCCGCGCGCGCACGGCCTAGCTTTTGCTCAACTTTCTCGTACAATGCGGCTAAGAAAACAAGCAGCTCTGCGTAACGACGCTCCACTCTCCATTCGCTCGCGGTTAACTTCGAAATAATAGTCGATGTCGGGTTCTTCGAAGAAGACGTCAGAGAGCCTTTTTTCGTGTTTGAGTTTCCGGCAGAGGCAGAGCTCCTGCTACTGTGCTGTCCAGCTTTCTTCCTCGCTTCACTGGAATCTGGTTCCTTTGCTTCATCCGTGGCAGCAGTTGTAGAAGAGGATGCTCCGCCAAACCAGTCGCCCCAAGTGGAGTCGCCCCACGCAGAGTTGTCTGCCGCCAGGTCTGTTGCGTTGTCAACGGCGGCGGTCGCGTCCATGATCGCTTCCTCTGCGGTGACGTCGCCACAGTCCACGCCGTACTTCAAGGTTATACTAGCGACTTCCGATTCCTTCACGTTCTCTACCAAGTAGAGTTTTTCCACCAGATGCTCCTTGCTGGGTGCGTGCAGCACTAAGCAGTCGCCGGGCGTCGCGTGACCGACTAGGCACATGTCTCTTAGCAAGGAGATCCACGCGTCGCAGACGTGCGACTCCTGGCAGCGCCTACACAGCCTGAGGGCGCCACAGCTGCCCGCGCCAAGATTGATACATGGGGCTAGAGCCGGCGCAGTGCCCTTCCACCACCGCGTCGGCAAAAAGCCTGAACTGTCTTGACTCGCCGCGAGCAGGGGCGCTTCCCTCAAGCAATTCTCGCAGTAGTTCGAGTCATCTGCGGGTGGGCAGAAGTCGTGCAAGGCGTGGCGGCGCAAGGGACAGCCGTCCACACCACAAAAGCGGTGCAGCAGATTTGGATTGTCAATTCCATCGCTGGGGCTCAGATCGGTTCCGGTTGGGGTATTCGTATTCTTGATGATGGAGTTGTTATCCTGCTGATAGTGATACCGTCCTCCACCACCTGCATGAGAAGATGACCATGTGCTTGACCTCGAATTCCGCTGTTGGTGTCCGTTGTATCGGTCTCCAACTCGTCCTGAAAATTGATTATTATTAGACCACGAATCAGACGACTGATTCATCATCTGGTCTGAATTTTCTCTTTCAAAGGACGTGGACCGCGAGCGGGAGTCGCGGAGCGGTTCCTCAAACAGGATACGGCGCACGCGTCCCGCAATCACGGCGCGGCTGGTCGATGGACTCGGCTTCGAAGGCCTATTGAGTTTTGTCGTTGTCACCGGACTCATCAACCTTCCGGGAAGTGCTGCAGCTGCTGGCTGCGAAGGATCCTTGTTCAACTGGCTTAGCTGCGTCACGAGACCATTGTCGCGACACAACAGAAACCTGACTAAGGCGCCGCTCGCAACGTGCATGTCGCCATACAACCGAGGCGGCTGGAAGTGGGGCAACAAAGGCAGCATGCTGTGGCATAAATCCGGAAGCTCGTCCACGCGAACATGCACGCCGTCCTCCGTTGCCGGGGCGCTGGTGGTTCCGGTGCTGGCCCCTATCAAAGCCTGGCGAGGAGCCACGAGCGGCTTCGCGTTGTACTCTGCAACCAGTCTCCGCGCAAACTCCCGAATTTGGTCCCTCAGCAGCTCGCGCCCACCGTATATGATGTGCAGTCGCGAACAAATATGAGCTAATGGAGGCCGCTCGGTTGCTAATCCTCCGAGTGCTGCGGCGACACCAGTTGAAGACTGTGCTACTTTTGCAGTTGTAATGTTAACCATGGGTCCTTTGGCAGTGAAGTCTCGGTGCAGCGGCGATATGCGCTTAAGCTGTTCTTCTAGCGTTGTTACTAAATCCGAATGTCCTCGCGGGCTCACCGCATCGACCCAACTCCGTTTCTGCGCTTTCTCTCCGCTTTCCCGGGTCGCGAAACCAAAAAACTCCGAAATTCCGAATCCTAGTGAAGATGCTCCCGTTTCTCGCACTCCAGGTGGTGTGTCGTCCACATCATCTTCATCATCCTCTATTGTTTGTCCACCACCCTCTGCCACTGCTCTTTTCCTCCCACTACTTTGTTGAGTTGTGCTGGACTTCTCTGTGGACTTCTCGGTTTTCGGACTCGCGTCCTGCCATGGTCCATCCCCCTCGCCGTCTTGAGTGCTAGCGCCGCCTTCGCTAGAAAGGAAACTGTCAACGGAGGCCCGCCTTCGCTTCGAGGATGCTTCGCTACTCCCAAAACTGGAATTCCTTCTACGGCTGTTCTGCTCTCTCAAAAATCTGCTAGACGATGCTTCACGTTTGTTCTCTATCCTGCTTTTGGAAATACTAGAGGCGGGAGACGTCCATCTACTACCTTGCTGTAGTCCATCTACATCACGAGAAGTTCGAGTTCTACTTGCGGACGATCTGTTTGTTTGCGCGGGAGGAGCTGGGAACATTTGCTCCGCAAATTCATGGGCAACTCTGGTTAGCACAGTAGACGTCAAGTAGTCGTGTGCACCTGCCTTCGTGCTTAACTGCGCTGTCTCTGTCAAGTCAACCCAAGGTGAGAGCAAAATAACGCCGCCACGAAGCAGTGGGGTACTACTATCGGTATTCGCGTCTTCGTCTTCTAGTACCACAACTCCTCGTTCTTGGTTCCCACGTTGGTTTCTGGATAAGGGGGTTTCAAATCCTTCGTAGTTCCTGCTGACCTCTTCATTTGATGCAGAGGAAGATGATGAAGCAACCGCAGCAGCAGCCTTTGCCTCCTTCTTTCTTCGCACGCGATCGGATAAACGAGCTAATAAAAGCAAACAAAGCGTCGCTCCCTGTGAATCGCCAACTAAAAAGTCGGGTCTCGAGTCCTCAAATATTCCTTCTAGGACATCTAGCGGAGAAGGCTTTGCGTTTGGAGAGTCTGTCGTCGCGCGGGTACCTTTTCTAGACGATGCTGGTGTGCTTGCCGCGGATTGGGGGTCAGATGTTAGCAGGAAGGATTTATCAAGTGCAGAAGTGGGACTCCTACTTGTGGATCTTGTAGTCGAGGTGGTGCTCTTCTTTGCAACTCTAGCAGTACCAGCACCTCCAGTACCACTAGTGCGTGTATTTCTAGCCGTTGTTCTTTTCGAGGTGGCACCTTCGGCTCTCGGACTTTTACGTGAGACGTGGGTTGAAGCTCTGTGTGAGTTTTCTGCGAACGCTGCCGCGTTTGTACTGTACTGCCAGCAATCGAATAACGCTACCGAACAGACGCTTTTCCATGCCAAGTCCGTTGCCAAAGCCTGGTACATTTCCCGCGTACCCAGGGACAGCCCACAACTGGAATAGACAAAAAGGACAGTGGGCATGCCGCCAACGGGTTTTATTCTTGGCAAGAGAACGTCGAGACCTTGCCTTTGCTTCAGGTTTACGCGGGGATCCCGCTCGGGCTCCGCCATACCAGGAGGCCACGGAGCATACTGCGCCATGTCCTGCTCATTGGCGGCTCTCACGATATTCACCAAGGTCGAAACCAAAGTCGGCCAAACAGGCGTCGTCTCCTCAAACGGCGTACTTGCACCCGCCATCTTGTTCGTCGTGCTCGTCTTCTTATTACTCGTAATCACAGCTCCAAATGAAGGTGTCGGTGCTTAGAGGCCAGCTGTGGCCATCTCCACGTCTGGTTATCTCCGCTTCGGAATGAGATTGTTCCTGAGATGTTGTAGTATCTTATCCCGCTGCTTCACCGGTATCAGTCATGAATCGTCTCGTTCTTTGCGCCTTTGCATAGATGAACAATGGAGTGTAGCAGCACGCATTTTTCAGATGACAAGAACTCACATATTAAAGGGTATCTTTCAGAAGTTAGTTAGGTGGTCTCTTTATCGCTATAACGATGTTTCAAAACAAACCATTGAAATCATTACGTCCTCGCAAAAAAACGTCATAAGGATCAATTGCAGCTGCGACGAAAACTACACACGCTGACGTTCCAGAAATGATATTAAACAATATCATGATTAAAATTCACAGGCAGACTATTCAGACAAAAAGTAATTCACAGAGACTTGGGTGAATCCAAGACTAAAAAATATCACAACCAAAACCTGTTTTTTATGAAACGAAGAATTTTTCGGGTCATATGAAAAGTCGGAATCTTCTATTTACTTAATCGTCTCAACAGAATGATCACGAGCAAACGCAGCTTTCTATAAAATTTGATTCACATTTTTTGGTGCTCTCAAGTCAGATGAATTTCTCAAAACAGATCCTTCACAGTTTCAGGGTTTCTAGGCTCTTGCTTGAGATTCGGATCTTACTCGAGATAGCTACAGAGTTTCTGAAAAATACCAGATCGACCGAAAGGACAGATTTTTATTTGAACTCGCTGCCGTTGCAGAGGACGAGGTGCTTATAATTATATCTATCATGATACCAGAAGCAGAAGTCTGTCACTAAATTTCAGGACAAGAGAAACAACTGACATTTCATGAGAGCACATTTTATTTGAGGCAGCATAGCAATTACGACATGAATCAGAACACGGAGGAAGATGATATTCAGATTATTACTTCATGAAGTCGCCGTTCAAACAGATCGTTTTAGTGACCAGTGTCACAGCTTATGACAGACTCATATTCTAGTAGTAGACGGCGCCGGTGTCACTACTACAGCTAGTACCGCAAGTAGAGAAGGTTCACTAGTAGTGGTTAGTAGCAGAGGACGCTGGTGTACGTGATGAAACACCTAGTAGTACTTCTAGTGCCCTGTTGCTATAACCCCAGGCCCATATTTTGGTAGACAGCGAAGGCCTTGTCCCTCGCAACCAGATTGCCCCATTTTCTGGCCGAGTAGCATTTTGTCGTAGGCCGACCATTCTCGTCGTAGAAAAAAACGCTCCACCCTTGCATGCGCTCGTCGAACTCGATCGGGGCAACGTTGTCACTATGTAATTCCGCATTCAGAAAACTCGCTCGCTTCTCGGCTTCCAGAGAACTTCTACTACAATTTAGCGGATGGTGGAGGTAAAAAGAGTTGGCAGCGGAGTTTCAACAATTGCATGATCTAATTTTCAAAAAAAACCTTAACAACTTTCAAGAACTTGTTTATTAGAGAACGAGAAGCAAATAAACTCTTGTCTACAAGGAATTTGACGGACGCAACAGGGCGTAGTTGAAAATGAGTCATATCATAGAAGGTTGTACTTCTTCAAACACGAAAGTGATCAACATTGTGATTGTCTTTCATACAACTCTAGTAATATTTACTTGTTCGCAGCGGAGTTTCGACAATTGCATGATCTAATTTTCAAAAAAAATTGTTTCAAATATGCCCTTGTAGATTAAAAGTGGTTTCTTAATGATTTGGGTGCGCGCCTTCCTCTTGTTTTTTTGGTTGCTGCAAAAGTACCCGTGTATTTCTGCAGAGCCTCTGAGTATGCACATATACTACTCTTCTTTCCTGCTGCGGGGCCACTGTTTCCCGCGGAACTACTGCTTGCGGAGGAACTACTACTTCCTGCGGAATTCTCCCCAAGACTCCTACTTGCGGTAGAAGTTCTAAGTGCGGAAGAACCAGTGCAGCCACTACCTGTGTTACTCGTACCCCCTCGCGCTGCCATATTAGTACCTCCATTGCCAATATTAGTACCTGGATCTAAGCAGCTATCGTCGTCACTCAGTCGGGGCACCGGACGTCTGTAGTCTGGATGGCAACCTGCAGCGAAATTATGTGTCCCGAACACGGTGCGAGAAGGAACACGCAAACGCGGATCTTCTGCAAACGCGGGTCTTCTGGAGGCTTCGCTATGATCATGCAGTCTAATATTGGAAGAAGTGCTATGATCATCTTCGTCCATTGTTAATATGCGGCCTCTATTTTCTGCTTGATCCTCTGTCTTATTTTCCGCGTCGCCCGAAGGTGAAGGAGCCTCAAGTAGGTGAAGCTTCGATTCGAGGAATGTCTCTGCTTCTCGTTTGCAGCGTTCTAATCCATACTTTTTCACCGGAAACGGCTTCGAATGCCACTTGTAATTCTCGTACCAGTTTTATGAAGAAAGGACAAGGCATTTAATATTGCTCATCGTTCTTTCTTGCTTCGTCTAAATTCAATTCTCCCCTTAGAAAAGTAACACCACCTCCCATGCTTCGTTCAAGCCTTAGCTGGATAAAAACAGGAACTTTTCGTATAATCATAACACCTCCCATGCTTCGTTCAAGCCTTAGCTGGATAAAAACAAAAACTTTTCGTATAATCATAACATCAACACCTCCCATGATTCGTTCAAGCCTTAGCTGGATAACATTAACAACTCTTTCTATCATAACATCACCTCCCATGCTTCGTTTAAATCCTCGAAGAACATGTTGCGGGGATGAGGAGACTCGTAATAGTCGTCCCTTACAACAATCTCCTTGGAGTGCGGCTTGTGAACGGGCATAAATCGATTTTTGGAGTCGGCCCGAAATTTATTTCCGACTCCCCACTGGAACACCCTGGCGTGCTCGGCCCGCCTTCGTCGGTAACTGTGGTTGTAGTAGCGCAAGCGCACCATACAAACATGAGTAACGAAAAACAAAAAGCTTAATTTTTAGAGAAGCTTATACTTACTAGGCCACAGCAGGAAAGAAAATCAAAATTTTCATATTATGATCAATCACTGATCTACGCCACTTCCTGAAAACAAAGCCTCTACTACTTATGTATGACTTTATTTATTTCGAGAAAAAGGAAAAATAAAAATTGCAATACATGTTATCTTTTGCTTTGATGGTGACGAATCCATCACCACGGTGTATGACCCCTTCTTCAGCATCTCGCACTGCGTTGTCCAAGGATGAGGCGTGCCGCAGAGCATGAGAGCGAGGTTTTAGAATCGATCTCGCAACCACTACAGACGAGGACATCATTTTTTCTTGTCGTGTGTTGTTCTGCGTCAGGCTTACTAGAAGATAATTATAGAAGCGAAGCGTGGTCGCGCTTGCTTAGTCGGTTTCACTCCGTTCATTATCTTGATTTTCAGAAATAGGTCTTCGCAGTAATCGAATCACCAGTAAGCGAAAGAGTGATCACAGGTTTTTTTGTGTGTCCACGTCATGCACTTTCTACGCGGAAACGAACACAAACTTGGGACTTTGTGGGATCGCTTGCCCCACCTAGTGGCAGCTTGAGATCCGAATGAGGTGGCGGAAACGGCAAAAAACTTTTGCGTGTTATTAGCGAAAAAAGCCAGCGCTCTTCAACTTTATCGCGAAGGGAGGTCACGGCCGAGGTGCGCGAGGGATGCCCCCCGAGGTGTCGCAGGCCGGGCGGGTGGAACAAGGTCGGGGACATCGGTGCGCGGGCGCGAGCGCTTTCCGAGCATCGGGACCAATGACGAACCCTCCGGTGCCTGGGAGTTCGCTACTTCGGAAGGGCAGGCGCGCTGGCCGGGCCGTGCCTCAAAGCCCTCGGGCACGCGTCTCCGAATCACCGCGCCAGCGCCGTTCGTAGCTGATGCACACCGAAGAGCGCCAGGGCCGGGCGCGTGGGGAGCGCAGCCCGCTGGCCGGGCGTGGCGCGGGCGGGCGTGGTTGGGCACCCATGTGCTGCCCGGTCGCGGTCCGATTCCACCCATCCGGTAGCGCTAAGGGGGCCGGAGAAGTAGGGCCGCGATTACCCTCTGCAGAGGCCTACGGGACCAAAGGTCGCGCGCTTTCAGTCGGGATCTGAAAAAGTCCCGACAGAGTTCCGCCCGGTTCCTATTACTCTCGGCTTGTGCCGTGCGAAGTCGCAAAGAGCCACGGCTTTGATGGTCGTTGCGCCACACCTAGAGGGCGCCGCCGCTGCGTCGTTGCTGAAACCAGCTAGCGCGGGCGAGCTGCGTAAGTGACTAGATGCCGCGAGCGATGACGGGTAAAGCCGCGGCTCTTGGCGTTCTAGCAGTGGAATCTCTCAGAAATTCTCGGCCTTCTTGGAAACCTTTCAAAAGTCGGGGCATTTCGGTCGACCGGAAACCGGCGCGAAGGTTTTCGCCGCCATCGTCGACCCATCGCGGCCCGGCTGCCAAGCTGTAGGACCATGGAGCCAGCTGCCGCTCGGGCGTGGTCTCTCTTGCTCCAAAGGCCGTGGCCTTTCAAGCGTTCAGCCTGGAAACCCTTCGGGAGTCGGAGCTCTTCAGCCAATCGGCAACCGGCGCGAGGGTTTTCATCACCGTCGCTGACCTACCGCGGCCCGGCTGCCACGCAGCAAGACCATGGAGCCAGCGGGCGCGCGGGCGTGGTCTTTCTTTCTCCTAAAGCCGTGACCCCTCAAGCGTTCAGCGTGGAAACCCTTCAAGAGTCGGAGCTTTTCGGCCAATTGGCAACCGGCGCGGGGGTTTTCGTCGCCGTCGTCGACTCATCGCGGCCCGGCTGCCAAGCTGCAGGACCATGGAACCAGCCGGCGCGCGGGCGTGGTGGCGTGGTCTCTCTTGCTCCAAAAACCGCGACTCTTCGGGCGTTGAGCTTGGGAACTTTTCAAAAGCCTGGGCTTCTCGGCCAGCCGGCAACTGGCGCGGGGGTTTTCGCTGCCGTCGTCGACTTATCGCGGCCCGGCTGCAAAGCTGCACGACCATGGAGCCAGCGGGCGCGCGTGCTTGGTCTCTCTTGCTTCTAAATCCGTGGCCTTTCCGAGTTCAGCCTGCAAACCCTTCAAAGGTCGGCGCCCTACGGTCGCGCTAAGCGAGGTTGCCGACCCCAGTGGGCTCCCCAATGATTTCCCCCCTGACTTTCTGGCCATCGCACTAGAGACGGGGGGCCATGAAGCCCAACGCGATCAGATTCTGCAAAAGGGACGCGCTCCCCATTAGTTTCCACAGCAGACGCTATAGAGGGCGACCCTGGTCCAGAGGGCCGCTGATAGGCTCGCGAGTGTGGTGGCGATCGACCGAAAGGAGCAGACCCCAAACGCCGCCAAAGTGGACACGGCTTCGATCGCCCGCTATTGGGTGCCATTTTCTTCCATTAGTTTCCCACGAAGTTGCGACTCTCTCGCTTCTATTCAGCTCAAGGAGCGAGAAAGCCGCGACTTTGGCAGCAGTTGTTGAGCTTGCGCCCGGGCTCCTCCTTGCCGCCGCTCGTCGGCAATTAAACGCGGGCGCCCCGAATGGGGAAAGAGCAAAAACCTGCGCGCCACTGATTCGCACGGGAGTGGGGCTCTGCCGCCACTTTGGCACTGGTTGCCGGGCTTGCGCCTGCCTGGGTTCTTCTTGGCCGTCGCTCGTCGGCAAAAAGACGCGGGCGCCCCTAATGGGAGCAGGGCAAAACCGCGCTTGCCCTTAGTTCGCACAAAGGTAGGGCCTTGTCGCTGCTTTTAAGCACAAGTAACGAGAAAGCCGCGACCTTGGCAGCAGTTGCTGAGATTGCGCCTGGATTCTTCTTGGTCGTCGCCCGTCGGCAAATAGAAGCAAGCGGGCGCTCCTAATGGGGAAAGGGCAAAGACCTTCTTTGCCATTAGTGCGCACGGAGGTGGAGCCCTGCCGCTTCTTTCAGGCACAAGCAGCGAGAAAGCCGCGACTTTGGCAGCAGTGATTGGGCTTGCGCCTGGGTTCTTCTTGGCCGTCGCTCGTCAGCAAATAGAAGCGGGCGCCCCTAATGGGGAGAGAGACAGGCCCCCTTTGCCATTAGTGCGCACGGAGGTGAAGCCCCGTCGCTCCTTTCAAGCACAAGCAGCGAGAAAGCCGCGACGTTGGCAGCAGTTGCTGAGCCTAAGAACCTTCTTACTTTTTTAAGTTCTCTTCTGGGGCTGCAGCTCGGCGAAGCAAATCAGTCTGCTCCCGATTCGTCTCGCCAGCTTTTTTTTTTGCGTGGCAGACGTGGCAGAGATATCCCCCAAAAGCTTAGCTTGTTTCAATTCCTAAAGGTGAGTGGATTACTCTGGAGGGCCGCTGAGCTCTTCCCTAAATGAAGGGAAGGCCCTGCAGAATCTCACAAAGATGCTAGCAAACCAAAAAGATTAAAAAACGGGCAAAAGCCAGGAAGCACCAGCAAGGTGGAGGAATCTGCTCAGGCTAAAAGCTTAGACGCCGGGCGAGGGTACCTTTGCCCGGCGTTTAAAACTCGGGCCCTGCATAACGAAAACCGCGCATAGCCCCCCAGGCTTTCCGAGGAGCTTGGAGAAGGCTCACCCATGAGCCCCGACAGGGCTCCCGCAAGTGTGTCGCGGCGACTCCAGAGGGGCCCGCGGTCCCGAAGGAGTCCCGAGCCCGTTCTGGTTTTCTCTCTGTCCTGGCGGAAGTTTGGAGACGTCTCGAAGTGTCTCCAAAATGACAGACGGACACGCCCCAGATTGGTAAAATTTGGACAATTTCGACCCCCCCCCCGGCAAGACCCTCAGCGGCTTCACTTCGTTGAGGGGAGAGACCATCCCCCCCGATTAACGAAACCAAAACCGACCCCGGCCAAGTGTTGACTCTAGTCGCCAGAGCTCCCGACCCCGGGCGGACTCCTGGGCTTGAAGCAGTCTAGAGCCCCGCTGGAGCGTTCTGAAAGACAAAGACGGGCAGCGCACTGCACTCGCCCCCGCACCCACCGCCAGCCACCGCGCGGCGCCCTCGAATCTCGGGAGCAAACCAAGCACGAAGAAGACCGAGGCGGACACACTGCGCACGCAGTGCAGCCCGCCACCAGCCACCGCGGCGCGCCCTCGAATCTCCTGGAAGAGGGGAAAACGAGTGGGGGACAGAAGAGAAGACAAAGGCAACACAGGCGGGACCGCGTTGGCCGTGTCAGCATTGAAGGACCACGCGCAGCCAAAGCCGCAGCACCCATCGCCATACCATGCCCCGCCCAAGTCCCTCCCTTTGCCTCTCTTGTTCTTCTCCCCGCTTCGTTCTCGCTCCTCGGGATTCGAGGGCGCGCTGCGGTGGCTGCTGGCCGCGGGCTCCCTGCGGTTCAGAAAACCCAAGAAAAAGAAGAGGGAAGAGCCGAGAAGACGCACGCGCAGCGCGTCGCAGCCTGCCCGACTCCGGCCCCAGACTCAGCGCAAGCGGCAGGCCTGGCCCGGGTTTCGAGCATGCTGCGGGCTTCGGCCTTGCTTCGAGCTCCGGGCGCGCTTTGGGCGCGTTTGTTTGGCTTGGGGTCGGGCGGGCTCCCGTCGGGTTTGGTCGGTTTGCGTTTGGGTTTGGTTTAGGCAAGCGCCCGGGCCGAGGCCTGGCGAGCTAGGCCCGGCGTGGGTTCGGTCTACGCTTTGCCTGGGTTTGGTTGGAATAAGTTCGGCCCGCATCTAAGCTTGGCCCGGGTCTGGGCTCGGTTTGGCTTGGGCCAGCTTCGGGCTTGTTGCCGGCTTTTTTTGGGTTCAGGTTTGGCCTGGTTTGGGTTTGGTTTGGGCTTGGGTTTCATTTTGGTTCGTGTTTGCTTTGGGTTTCGTTTGGGCTTAGATCGGGCCTGGTTGGGAGGGGGGGGCTTGGATAGAGCACAGACAAGGAGCAAGGGCGACCCTGTTCAGCTTCTGGCGACTTTGTAACCTGAAAGCAGCAGCCTGGGACTTTTTGCCAGTGTTGATTCAGTTCGAGGCACGTAGCACGAGGGCACGCTTCGCTTTTCTAGTACGCGATTTTACGCAACGCGCGCGAACATTAAACGCACACCAGAATCGGAGGCATCTAGCGGCTTACTCAACACGTAGTGGCCTGTTGCTTGCAGTTTTATAGTTCCAGTACTGTATCAAAAGCGTGCTGGGTCTATGCCTAGTTTTGCACTCCAGTTCGTCATGCCAAAGTATTTGGACACTCGATACATCTGCACTAATACCCGCACTATTCCCACAACTATAGACTTTTAACTAATACGCGTTTGCATTGAGTAGCCTTTTCTCGGTACTCGCATCATTACCGAGTCTCTGGTGCGTACATTAGAGTTTAGGTAACTCCATCATGCGCCTCCTCTCGCTTTGCCTCGCAAGCCCAGTAATCCAGCGTAGTAGTGAATTGCCAACCGTCGACCGTCGGATTCCAGCGTACAGCGCGAGGGCCAGACGCTAGAGGGTTACCTGAGTTGCCGAATACTGCATGCCGACCGTTGCGCCGGACGCGGTATGCCTGACTACTGAAATTAGTTCGCCATATTCCACTATTCAACCCTTCTACTTCATCGCAACAGACTTGCGCTGTGCGCTCGTTACTCGGGTGAAACGCTGTGCTATGTGCGTAGTCGAGAATGAGCCTGATCAACCACCTTCTTTTACTGCGTTGGTAATCGCCAATACCAATTATGTCCCTTGTGTTGTCCAGCCCTTCTTGTGCGCGGAACTCGCTTGCCAGGCTTTCCGGTATATATAATTCTCCAAAAGATGAACGGCGTCGCGCAGTGTCTATAAACTGGGAGACCTGACTCCCGTATTGTCGCGGAGTTCCCGTTTCGTACATCATGTGCAACTCTTGCCACCCATAGCCTTGCCCTAGGTCCCATTGCCTGACAGGCGGATTCGTAATGGTGTATGCTCCACACCCTAAATCGCGCACTAAGAAACCGTAGACATGGCGAACACGTGCTTGCCAATCGGCATGTGGTAATCGGCACAGCTGCTCGCCTGCTGTGTTAGTCAATTGCGCCCACGCTGTGCCAGTATCATTCTCGATATTTACGAGATACAGTTGCGGTCGAGGCTGACGAGCTAGTCCGTACCTGCGCCCTGGGTGAATAGCATCTAACCGCTTACGCATGTACTGCTTCCATTCTTCCTCATGTCCCCCCTCGACTCGGTATGGGTAATGTGAAATCTCGATCGCTTCAAGAAAAGAAATCTCTGCCCACACCTGTGTCCCTCCCAGGCAGGTTCGCACGTTGCCAATATTATGGCTGCCACGGACTGCAGACTCGCGGTTTGTGGCGACATAACCAAATCGGGGACCAAGCACGTCGTCGCCAGGGATATCGTGTCAAGTGTTAGAGTATTTAATGATAGAGGTAACTTCCAAGGGCATAGTCTAGCAATATATCTCTGACCCGCATAACATCTGACGTCCCCGCGTGAAATAGCGCGTCTCCGATTTCGGCCATAGCGTTGGCATACCCTGCTCCCTGATAATTCAAGACGCCTGCGGCGTGTAGCATGGCTATTACCGCCAGTCCCCGTTCCGCGTTGAGATATTGTGAGGGGGTATTCCCGAACTCAGAACCGTGTTCTGGCCACGAGATTACCTGGATGAGTTTCAGTATCATATCCATAGGCACAATGATCTACCCCGATCTGCGAAAAAGACATACGGCAGCAATATTATAGTTGCAATACGTTAGACCCGGAAGCGTCGGAACTGGTACCACGGAGACCTCGTGGTGTCACAAAGCGTCGCGTAGACCCCAGCATCTCGTCAATGAACCCATACACCCGCTCCCACGTCTGGCATATAAGACTGCGCGCGTGGTCCAAGTGTGAGCGCCACTGTGCGACGTCGTAACTTTCACGATGTACATGATACCGGTCCACGTTTCCGGAGGTCCCTAATAGGGGCGTGTAGTTGCCAATTATCTTTAATCGGTATTTTCCCGCACGAAAGTCTAGGGTGCGAGTAACGACACTCGTAGGCGACATAGGCGTATCATGAAATGGCCCTCTGGCTGAAGACTCCGGGCGAATAGTCACTATACCCGATGGTTGATAACCAACGATTTCGGAAACCTGCGGCCACGCCGTGGTGCCGTAGAAGTAACGGCACGCGCCTGCTGCACCGCTGCTCCCCTCCAACTCTTCGCTAATAGCAGCGCTTAGCTCGTTCCAGATTGCCGTAAGTCCCGTGGCGGTTTGTTCGCGTTCCGCAATGCCTAACAGCCCACACAATAGGCACCGTAGCACCGGCGTCGGCGATGCCGCGATGCGCGGATCCAGCGACCACATTGTTTCGTCGTACACTATATCCTCTAGACTTGTAACTAGTCCTACACTACCTCCGGGAACCCGGCGCCAAGACATATCGGCGTCTCTCACAGGAGAATTGCGCATCATCCTTTAACATTCCTGGATTATGGGATGGCTCCATCTTGCCGATATACACAGTAACGCGATGGATGTAATTACAGGCTCATGTATTTTGATAGTGCATTGCAAGAATGTCTTATGTGCATGTGTCAATTGTATGTCCGTGTCAGAAGAACTATAAGTGCGTGATCTCGTCATGTGGAGATTGGTATTGATACGTCGACAAGGCTATGCAGATCCTTATAGTGTGTGCGTGGGCACACATCGAGCAATCGAAGCAAAAGCGACGTCACTGCTGCATGAGACGTCCGACTACACGGATCAAGTAAATAAGACTGAATTACCTCCTGTATCTTTATATCAAGTTCTAACGACCCTAGGACCTGAAAAGGCTCTTTAGTCTGCATCTGTGTCTGAATCGCCTTGCGCTGTTGCTCATTGCCGTCGCGACCTACGGTTGTTAAAGACTCGACAACCCAATAGGCTAGTGGCATATCTCCTGACTTCAGCTCCCTGGGTGCCCAACCATAAGATATTTTCAGCTGTCGCTTGAAGTCCTCATCAACTTCGCGACAAAAGCTAGTCGAATACTTGCGAAGCGGTATGGGTAATGCATTCGTGTTGAGCCATACTTTACCCCGATCCCCACGTGTCCACTGAAGGCAATGCCGTATCTCGGTACCAATTGCCAGCTGCCAGCGCGTGTAATTCTGCGAAAACCGTTGATGCGCTAGCCAATGACCTGACACTACACGTTGTAACACGTCGACTAATACGAAAGCAGCGCCTTGCGGGGACAATAACTCGTCTACCAAGACCCATGCGCACCACAACTCAAACGCAATTATCTGGCCAGGGTAGAGCTGCATATACCGAGAGAATAACCACGCCTGAATGGCAGCCAATTCCTCCAAGTCAGCGCTCTCTGGTGTAGTCGCCAGCCACTCAAGGTAAGCGGCACCAAGGGGATCCGGGCTCTGCCATTGGTCCGGAAGGTGCTGCCTCTCGTCGACCCCCACCAGTGAACTACGCGCCAGCTGCACTGACTCCATGTTTAATGTATTTTGAAGTTTTCCTACCTTGTTCTTTTCTACCATGTAAAAAAATCCCCAAATAGATTGACTCGCGATCATGCCTGTACGCTCTACCTGATGACGGATGCATAGGAAAAAGAGTAATTCCACGCCTAGTCGCGTGCATATTACATGAATAACTTAGAGCAGAATCCTGGGAACACAAACGCAGTGACACCGGAATAGATCCACATCATATCACATTTCACAGATGATCACGGGGTCAAAGTATCGAACAACAAGCACAGTGACCAAGGTTTATAGATTCGTATTCTGTCGATGTTCTTCTCGGGCCTCGTGCACCTGTGCGAGTTCTGGGATGACCAGATGCCCTAACCCATCCCGCATCAGCATACGAAAATAGCGAACATATTCGCACGCACTGTGTTCAGCCTCTCCTTGGGTTCGTGCCGCGAGTCGTAGACGGGCGCGCTCTGTTTCGAAAGCTGCCCACACGTAATTCCACCACCGATTACGCGTGCTCTCGTTCATGGTTGATGTGCTCCAGCCATGGACTAAATTGTAGAGCTGGTAACTACAGGCCGCGTCTGCGGCACTCCATGCACAGAGACTGGGTCCAGGGAACTCCGCGTGCGCAAATGCTGATCCATGGGCACGCCCCACTAACTTTCCCACGTAATACGGCTTAAATGCCGTTGTGCCCTTTCCAGAGAGCCCAGGAATAGCGACCGGGTGGATTAGAAGCGAAAACTTTGCACACAGTATTAGTGTAGTTACATAATCACCTGTACGCATAAGAGAGTTAGTGTATTCCATGCCACTTGTATGGGTGCGCCTGCTTCAAGCATCTTCCAACATTTCCACGCGTCTTTTAAACCTGCGGGGGAATTGAAATAATTACGCAAATTCCACATGTCGTCGGCCATGTGTGCCATGGGGGCACACCCACGCGTTGTAATGCCACGATGCGGCACGTCGGCCGTCAATGACTTTACCACAGCAGCCGTCTTTGCTGTCCAAATAGCTGGCAGAACGTCTACCATTACGCGAATTAATCGGTGGGTGTTAGAAAAGACATATATCCTAGGGGTTCGAGCCGGTAATTTGGAGCTATGATTGAATCTTGGGTAAAGCCGTAAAGATAAGCGCGAGTGTGTAAAACATCCATTCTGCAGCTGCACCTGCACACTCGACTTCGCTGTTGCCTGATTGTACATTACCCATAGTGTGTCGTAGTAACAACACCGCATGCCGTGATGTAATGTCGCGAAACCACGGATCATAGATCGCGTCTCGTTTCTTGACGTATAGCGCCTCTAGGCCAGCGCTAATGTCTTTGCACCGATAGCGTTTAGTGTCCCGAAGCAGTGATTTCTGTTGCTCAAAAGCTGCCGCCGTGCTCCCTAGCGTCAATCTGTAATCTGATATTTGTTCCCGAACCTCACAAAACTCGATCCAGTTGCACAGAACTGCGTAATTGATTTCAGGAAATAGGTGGTCCGTTGCTAAGCAATTACCGCAAAACGATACGCACGCGTCGGCATCTTCAGGCGCTTGTCTCAGCTTGTAGCGATATTGCGTCACGGGATAACAAGGCGCGTGCGATGGTGCCACGTTTGTACACATAGGCGCTGCACAAAATACAGGCATATAGAAACCTTTAATACACTGGCATCTACTTGATATGACTATACTGGATTACACAACGATCGGACTACTCGAGTGAATACTGATACACTACTATCCTGTTCGAGATCCGAGTGCAAGTAATTCTTTTGTAAGCACTAGGCACAATGTTATTTACAGTGAGACTAGAGCCCGTTTTCATTCGTAGCCTGCCTTAGATCATTTCCTATTGACCGTTCAAGAATTCCATCGGATCCATGGCCCTTTGGACTTCACTCAAGGAACATAGATCTAGATCCCTGTTCACATTCCGGGGATCCAAGATTTTATTATAGGTCACCACCGACTATTTATGTATTTACTAGCTCGATTCCATCGCCTTGCTTGCGCTTGGGCGCAACGAGCATTGTCATGCCAACTTCACGCTCAATCTCCTCGCACTTCGTAGGATTCGATTCCTGCACCTCGCACATGAAGCTGTGCAAAGAGTGCCGCACGGCACCGGGCCCATCCTCATCTAGACGGAAGCCGCAACAGTAAAAGTTCTCAGCCTTATGCCACCAGCCGGCTTCACGGTACCGAAGTGCTGCCCAAAACTCTGGGCATTCGACAATCGCGTTGACCTTAGCGCAAAGTTCATGTCTAATGTTGGTTATTGGGTTACTATATCTATGTGTGCAGCGTGACCGCCATAACTAAATGCCGCATCGAAAAATGATGCCCGATCTTTTTGATAATTCTCGCTGCGTCTTGACAATCCACGGGCTGCATTAGCCCCGTTACTCCGCCACAGATCTCAACAATGTAGATCATGTACTCTCCACGTAGGTGTGCGCGTTTAGACTCGTCCAGCTTGTGAGATGGGGAATCGTCTAGCAGCAACAGGGTCGCCCGGTTTTTGCATCGTGTAGTTTGTTTGTGTTTACCAAATTTCAGCATCTCGTCCCAGAATAGTTCTTTCGATACTCGCCCGATCATACTATCCTTATCAGATGCAACGTGCAAACGACCCCAGATTTCCAAAGCTTTTTCCACGTTCCGCTTCCGTTGCTTCGCTCTATCGCTTTGTGGACCAAGGTATTTATGGCCAGCGACGACCGCAGGGTCGGGGAGTCGTAATACCGGATCGCTGCACATCCAGACCATTGCCGACATAGTCGTTTGACATCTTCGCTGCGCTCGAAACTGTGACTTGCGATGCGCGCTATCTGGTTGCCCATCTCCAACGCGGGGCTGGAACTCATACCCCCCACTCTCGCCGTATATAACTGAGACTCCTACTTCGTCAACGTTCACTATGTCCATGTAATCTGTTTCACGGATCGGAGTCCTGTTGTACACCCGCGAGTAATTTCTTCGGGCCTCCTCTTTGGCCAATCGCCAATTCTGCCATGTCCGTAAAACGTTCTCAAAGCGGTGGACTGGGTCCTGCTCCGCACCGCTGAACTTCGCGTTCCGCTGCGATAGCGCGTACAGCTTTCGCTTAATATTCAGTCCCGTATGTACAGCGACCCACGACCGCATGATTCTACTCAGGGCGCGGCGACCAACATCGTCCGCATGGCTGTGGGTGCCCATGCTTTCAGATAGTGCTCCTGCATTCCGCAATGCCCGCCATGCAGTTACATTCTTGATCTTTTTGCCAGCGTCTACTAGCTTTTGCAGCGCCCGTTGCTCCATTGCCTCACGAGGGCGAGCCCGGTTTCGTACCCGTACGACTTTCTCGACTCTCCACTCTCTGCCGCCGGGGGCTAAATCGTCATGATCTGACTCGTCGTCCACCTCTACGTCAGATTGCGCGGTAAAGATCTCGTCCCACGCCGGCGCGGGATAATCCAAATACCCTAACCCTGATGAGGTCGGTGGGTCTTCGCGGTAACTAGAACTACTCGCTGATGCGCCTTGCGAGCAAGGGTTACGGCTAACATCTCCCAACTCTGTGCCGTCCCTTTCGATATCATATACTTTAAATTCTTTTCGCTGCGCAATAGGCAACCCTGACCACCAAGCATACGAAGCGCTGTTGTTCCGCGCACGGGCGGCTCGCTTCTCAGCGTTATAATTCTTGGATCGCCAATGTTGTGTCGCATGGAAGGGACATTCGTCAATGTGGTCACTTCGTGCTGGGTCCCAAACCATGTTTGCGCGTGCGGCAATTTCTTTCCCACTTGTAACCAAAATCGTCCGTGTAGCTGATGCTTCTAATCGTTGGGCAAAGTCTGCCGGTATAGCTTCCTGGAACAATGTTCGAATTTTCTCGCGCGTCCTGTCAGTAAACACCACGTTGCGTTTTGGCTGTACCTGATTACAGACACAACCGACGTGCCAACACCCGAACCTTTCCCAGGCTTCTAGTACGTTTGATCTGCAAGTAGCAGGGTAGGCAACCCGTCTTCGGGATTGACATTGGTAACACTTTAGGTACCCGACTTGGTACTCGACATCTGCCCGCTGCGGAGCTTCCTTTCCATTATTGGTAATGCTCGACATCCTCTGATTCTCCACAGGGAAAAGAGATACGCTAGTGCCTATTATCTCTTCCTCGTGGTCTTTCCCACCTCGGATTTAGAGTTCGTCGTCGTATTCACTAGGGGGTGCGCGACTCGAGGACGACCCGCTTTGTCCGGTTCCCGGATCTCCCTTACCACTGCCCTTCGCCGCGTTACGACGGTTAGGACGCGGGATCCGGTTTGCCGCGGCCGCGGCGCGTTCAGCTGCTACCTTACGGCCCAAGTTGTTCGTGCCACCGGAAGCCGTATCCATGAGCTCGCGCATCAATCGCTCGTTTCCTTGATTGCGCGCCTTTGCCCTCTCGTTCTTTTCGAACGTGCTTGCAGCCGACGCAAGCAATTTGTTAATAGCTTTTGCCGAGGCCTTGACCTTATTACTTCCTGCCGCGCGTCCGCGGGCTTGCATGCGCTGTAATGCGCGTTCGTTTGCGCGTTCCTTTTGTTCCGCTTTCTGCAAAGCCTTATAAGCCCCAACGTCCGCTTTCGTGCGAGGCATCTTTTTTAGTCGGTTGCCAACGGCTATGCCGTCTGATCATACGGTATTGCTATACAAATATCTATGAATGGAAGTAACGACGTGATTCTCAAACTCCTCTTTGGCCGTTGGTACCTATCGACTATGCTGGTAACTAAGGTTCGAGAAGTGCCTGCGCAGGCTCCTAATGCACCGTCTGTACTATGTTAAGTCTGTAATGCTTTGTCTCCGGTCAAGTTATCAAGTGGTAATGCCGATTCAGACTTCTTCTAGGTCAATACTTGTGCTGTGCCGAATACCTCTTATGATCAATGTCACTTGCACTGTGGGATCCTGGAAAAACATTTACCCGATCGCGATCAGAGATTGAAATAATACTATTCTCAGGTTAACTAGATCTTTCGCGGTGTGATGGCTGTCGATTCACGATGAGGATTAACAATTGATCTTAACCCATGAGTCGTCTGTCACGACCATAATTGCCCGATTTGAGATCTAGATAAATCCGTGTCTGATCTTTCAGTTACTGGGTCTTTAGTGCAGCTGCTGCCTCTTACTCTATACAAAAAGGTAATTGGAATAAGTTCGACGCTAATTCTGACTGCTGATTTAGATTCTGAACTCTTGCTGCCGCTATGTCAAACTACCTCCTAACTTCCGGAGTGCCAAGCCGGATAAACAATGCACGACAAGATAACTATTTGTTGGCGAATCTGTGGGTAACAGGTGTGGACAACCCGACCCTTGATGTGGTTATTCTTTTGCCCCTTCTCGCTGTATTTTGATAGCCAAGCATGGTTATTCCCGGAATGCACACGTCAGCAACAGGAGCAGCTGACTTACTAAATGCAACCTCTACTCGTCTGTGGTCATTTACCTATGATGCACTATATTCCATACCTTCAGAACACGATCCCTCACTCGTCTGCTCGTTTCCCAGAATCAAATCGACAGACTTCACCCGACATGATCAACTCTTTATACGGGATGCCTGGTTGCAAATTCTCGTTAATCGGCTTCAGGGGTTTACTACTACCGCCATGCCACCTTTTCACTTCTTGCGAGTACGCATGCAATACATCACTCGGCATCCCTCTCGCCAGCAATCGGTCCCGGATGTCGTTCGCCCATGTTTCTGATGTAGCGTAGCCACAGAATGCGCTTACGTCGCGCGCCAGGTTCTCTGCTAATACGTCTTGCGCTTGCGATCCCGTCATCCCAGTAAGCAAATACTGCGGAAGCAATTGCGCTCGTTTCTGGATTTCAGTATTAGTTGCTGAGTTCGGCCCGCGCTTTGCCCACGGGACCTCGCGGAATTGCTTCGGCTGTGTAAAAGAAATAGCGCGCGGTCAATTAGAGATGCTGGCACTTTTGATTGCTGAATATTACTTGCGTTATCACTACGTAGCACACAGCATAGCTATGCCTATTACCTGGCGCTCGTTTTGGCCAAGGGCCCATTCTCGAATAAGAGGCCACACAACCAACAGAGCTACGGCATCAATCAGCTGGAACCTTTTGATCGCGACCAATGACGCAAAGCTTGTGCCCTTCGACTGATAGCATAGCTGCTGCACTCGCCAGTTTTCCTGTATGTGCAGATTAGGTATATATGCCATCATCTCGAGACTATACTATATCAATGGAGTTGCATGTGGTTTCATAGATAATGTAATACCGACGGAGGCCAGAAGTCTGCGTCTTTTGTGCACAAATGCCACACGTCCCCGGCAATCTTGTATATCACAGTCATAACAACGTCACGAGATGCATTGCCATCGGCATCAACTGGGCCAACTGGGAAATCAGGCCCGTAGTTCAATTCAACAGTAAGAGACCTCGGTGACATCGCGCCATTGTTATACGGACTTCCGCCAACAGCCTTTGCAGTGCCAGCTTGTGGAGCCGACCGATTGCTGCCTTGGCTATTGGGTGGCGACCCGTTCCCGAACGAAAAGCCTGGCCCAATTTGCACGGATGCTTGACTGTGAAATCCCGCTCCGGGTGGTAGGTGCCCAAAGCCCACGTCTCGCGGTTCCGGATGCCCGTTCTGGTGCCTCGGCTCCTGGGCCTTTACAGAGCTCGGCGTGCCTTCCCTATGAACATTACTGGCGAAGCCGTTGCAATTCGCTTGCGGGCCAATGCTGCGACGACTGCCGAATCGCAAGGAGTCTGGACGTCCTGCCATGGCCGAAGAAGAACCGGCGAGAATTTTGCTATATTGCGAATTTGCCAAAGAGTTATAGGCCGCACTTGCCGGGTTGCGACTGATCCAGTCGGGCACCTGCATCCCGTATGGACGACTTCGGGTCTCAGGAGATGGGTGTGGTGTCTTCTGCCGGCCATGGACACTTTTATACCGCCACTCCTCTGATTGGGCAGCGACCTAGATTGTCAATACCGGATTAGAGATACTTTTTACATAGCTAGTGCCGTCGGTGACACTACGTGTACATATTCATGGATTCAAATAACGACTACTAGGTATATTCGGTACCTGGCCGCCGGGGGTATACGGTATAGAGCCGGCGCCTACGTTGTCTCTTTCCGGTGCGGACGAAGGAACCTGTGTCAAGATCCAATATTTGCTACACAATCTACTACTTTTCTACTCTTTTACCTGTTGACCACATCCATAATTCCAGAAATACCTCACTTGCTAATTCTTGCCGAAGCCGCCGACTCTCGGCTTCCATGGCCAGAATTCGTGCAGTCTCTTAGAGCGTCCAAAGTCACCGGGTATTCGGGTGCCGGTGAAAACCCGGCACATCCCCCACGCCGGCACCCGTATACTCATTTCTTTTTATTAAGTGACTGGGGTTAACAACCTGGTCATAAAATCTGGCATCCGCTTGCTGTGCCTCGGCGTCCCTCGTCATGGTGTCTTGGTACGACTTGCGGTATTTACTCGCTACTCTAGATTCTTAGGTCTGTATCGTCAACCAATACCTATAGATCACATCTGTAGATACCCCTGTAACGGTTTCGGTAATTCGCGCTTGATGTAATTTTCATCTACTTCTATTCAGGCAGCCAGGTGGAAGCTCTGGCCCAGCTGGATTACAACTCCAGTCCCAGGCGATCGGATCTCGGTTACATAACCTCTTGATCATTCTCTTATCGCGTGAGTTTCATGTTTTAGCACCCGGGCTCTCGGATCCCTTCACCCTTCCTATTCAACAAGCCGCAAAACTTTGCTACGCGCTCGGATTAGTATTTACCGCGACACTACGCTACGACACGGTCTACAGACATCACATGGGCGCTTGCTAGAAATTGGATTCATATTCCTTGGACATCGTGGACCTCAGCTATCATTGCCGCCATTGACCTTCCGATCCTAGATCCCCTATTACCGGTTGCCTTAGAGTTATAGTAGATAATTTAGACCTAGATTTTTACTCACACGTCCTATTTCCCGTATCTTTGGAACATGGAACTTTCCGAACACGACTCCTATCCTTTGCCTCAATACCTATCTCGTAAGGTTTTCAGATATTTCTCGTTCTAATAGATGCATTGTCTTTCACCCGGACACCGAATCCGGCTCCCTTATTACCACCTCTTGTCTACTCGTCTACCGACTGCACACTCCCAAGGAGTGATACTCGAACTGCCTTGCTCGATAGCGAGTGTTGGTATTCACCTAAGCCTCGAGCTCCCCTTCCCTCACCGCGACTCTGCTCTGGATAACATATTAACCTTTCCGGATTCTACCTGCCGAAATTCTCGCTTCCCAATGTTGGGGAATTCCCAAGGGCCCATGGTTTTGTCCTTCAACATTGGGAAGCGAGAATTGTTGTCTGGTAGAATGTTATCTCAGAATACCAGATCCTAGAATCGGGAATAGGGGGTAAGTGGAATCCATTCCCGGAGTCCTAGATTCTAGAGTTAGGTATTGAGATAGGATGGCTAGTACTTCAGATTAGGAGAAGAGGTGCGGAGCGTAAGCATCTGAAGGCCAAGGCGAGTAGCGTCGGGTAGTAAAGTAGCCAGGGTTCCAAGTTGCTCAGTAGCCAGTCGATAATTCTCCAAGGCGCAGTTTCGGGAACCGGAAAATGCAGAATCGTAATATGCGGTAATCCGAGTGACAAGGTCCAGTAGATGGGTGCGGTGTCTCACGGCTAGGGCGTCCAGCGATGTCGACGGCGTGGCATAGTATGCGGCCGTGAGTGCAGCGGGTATTAAAGAGGGGTATAGAAAAGCGAGAGTGGTAATCCGAGGGGCCACTGCCGACGCGTGGAATTTGAATGGTAAGTGAATCATAACAGAGTAGCAGTAAGTCCACGTAGCGGCGTCGGGAGTGGGATGTGGTGCAATTCTTTGATAAGTGCAGGCTGGCCCGTGAAGTATGCTGGGTTCTGCCGCGCCTCGTCGAAGACGGCATCGAGTTGCCCTGGATTCAGGCGCTGAGGAAGCCAAAAGTCTTTGCTTCGAAGCCCTTGCGCGTCATCCAAAGCTGAGTTCCGTAGCCAATGGTAAAAGAAATGGTCCCAATGCGCAATGACGGTAGTCACCCGGGTTTGGAGTACCAGCGTGCTCAGGACGGATTCGACGGTTGCGCGTGCTGTAGTACTTCCCAGAAGTGCGGTCAATGCGGCGGCTGTATTCGGCCAATGTGCTGCTGTTGCAAACGTCTTTACGACCGGGACCAGTTCCGAGTCTTGGAACGCGGGCCAGTTGTTCGCAACGGTAGCGGGTGACGGGAGATGAGCCGTAGAGCTCGGCATGTTGGGCGGCGGCTGCAAGGGATCAGCGCGTATTCCCGATTCGTGGACTCCAGTCCCGCTACCCCAGGACGACCATAATTCATCAAAGGCTCGTGCTGCGATTGACATTGGCGGCAGAGTAGCAGTTGGCTGCTGTTGCCCGACGCTCGCAGCAGGGCCACGAACACCCGGGCAGCAAATCACAGGGACCTAAGATAGAAGTAACGGCGGATGGACAGCGGTTGGTTACATGACAATGTGCAGGGTAATAGAGATCTGTTACATTCAGCAATGGATAGGTACCATGGTATTTGGCTTGAGGCGGTCTGTATTCTCGAAGTGCCAACCCAGACGGTCACGATCTTGGGCAGCGCAAAACGGCTTGCGGCAGAGTCGGCCTATAGCTGGGACGCTCACGTGACCTGGAGTGGGCAAGGCCTCAACAATCTTGAACATGGTTCCTGGCACCGCGGCATCGTAGAAGAACCAAGCACCATAGCCAAAATTCGTGCTCAAATACACCGGTAAGGGCTTTTTGGGTTGTGTATGTGGCTCGTTTGCTTGCAGCCAATCCCCAACCAAACCAGAATCACGGGCGTCGACGCAGTTAAAGGGTGCATGTGCGACGGTTGGCGGCTCGATTCTCGAAGGTCGGTGTTTCGATGATTCTGAAAGCACGGCGGGCGCCTGTGTTGCTGTGACTTTGGATACCAGACAGTGGATATCGTACGGACTATGCGATGCGGTATGTCATGGTTACTAGAAGTGCAACTTCTAGATCATTAGATCCAGGTGAACCAGGTTAGTATTAGGAGCAAAATTGAAACTGTATGTACGTGACTAGTTACTCGGGAACCGGGAAGGTCACTAGGCGCTTGCGGAATAGATGCTGGAATGGAATCACTGGACGGCTTTAGGCGCTTAGCCTGCGGCGTCTCCGGGTCGAGCGCTTGATCGGCGTTGTCTGGCTTTTGCATCGTTAACTGACATCCGCGAATACACATTGCCGGCATCGAGGTGGGCGTGTGGAAAGGTACCTGCGCAATGATGGATGCAATGGACATGAATCGCGTCAGGAGTAGACGCGTGGGCACTAGGATGTTAGTTGGTGGTAAGGTCAGCGAAGTGTAAAATGAGAAGTCTGGTAATACGATTTTAGCGCGTTTGGCCAAGTTCGTCGGCGGAAAGACCCAGTAGAGATCCGCAGCCGTTGGATTGGAATCGTCAGCCCAGCGCATCAACGTCGGTGGTGTTAGATCCTGACTGTGAGCAGAGCCGGAAGCCGCGGCGATGGAAGCAATCTTCATCATGCCGTTAGGCAGTTCTGGATGTGCGAAAAACCAAAACCCATAGTACCCCGTAGTGGTATCAGCTGGGGCGCAAAGTAGCGGGTGAAAATATCTCGCGTACATTCCACCCGGGGTCTGCTGTCTCCACACGTTTCCTTGCTGAGTTGCGCTATTGCGGTCGTCTAGATTCACAATTTCCGAGTGAAGGTATTCTAATTCCTGCGGGGAGGCGCTCAGGACGTCGGTGTTCGGGACTCCTTTAGCGATGGCTGCATCTCGGTGGCCGGCGAATGTGTCGAAATTGGCAGTGTCGACGAGTTTTGGTTCGTGCATTGCTGCATCTTCAGCCACACCCTCGGGAGGATCTGACTCCCGGTCAGCCGTTTTGGGAGGAGTGGATCCCCAGACCTCCTGAGCCGCTGCCAATTGAACTGCCAATCGCGACTCGGCGAGCAACAGTTGCTCACAGTTCTCATGCGGCACCTGTTATAGGTCAGGGTAATGAGTTACTTCGTTCGCTAACAGGTAAGTCGAAGATGTAAACCGCCGATTAGGGAATCCGAGACAAAAAGGCACAATGATCTAGACTAAGGTACTATAATATACCGCAAGACTCTGACGGTTAGAGCTTGTGCGATCGAACACCCAATAGTGGCGGCCGTCGTAGTTGACAAGCTGGGGGACCAGGGGTTCCTCGCCCTGGTCGTGCAGCGTGTTGCTAATCTTGTAGACGCATTTTGGCACGTCTGGATGGACAAAAACCCAAAAGCCGTCGCCCGCTTGGTTGTCAACGAACAACGGTGATCCGACAGTGGCGTTTGCGAACATGTTTCTCTGTACTGTAGCCAGGATCCGATCATCGTCGTCGGCGGCCGGGTCTAGGAACTGTTCTGACCAACTCGGTTCAAGCACAACAGTGGCAGTAGCCAGGACTGGGTCATGCGAATCAGCTGGCGGGTTCCATTTCTGTTAGTGTGGGGTTAGAAATAGGGTAGCGGCATAGACCTTAGCAAGTATCGCAATCTAGATCACGAGGCAAACACATGTTATAGTAATTGGGTAATACCCGGACGTGTTCAATAGGCGTAGCGTGCAGTTGTTTCTCTCCTTGGTCCGTAGCGCTGAGACCAGTGGTCCGCAGCTGTTGTTGCACATTGCCAGATGCTGCAGGATCAGCACGCGTGTGTTCGCCCTGCGACGGAATGGCGGTTGTTTCACAAAATTGCGCCTCGATTTCAACCGCAGGGAGAATGGCCACGGAGGACGCCTTTGCCTCTGGCATCACCTGCGCCTGCTCGTTGCCTTGGTTTTGGTCTGCCGTAACGTCGATTACTGGTGCCTGGCTGGTCGCGGCTAGCAGCCCTTTAGCCTTTCCCTTTTTCGCGCGCTTAGCTGCCTGACAAGTGATGTTGTGAGATAGAGCAAAAAGTCTACGAATTGCGGATGTAGTTTGTGAACTAGCGACTGGTACACTATACATATGGATGAAGTTTACGGTACCGCACGTGCCGCGTCCTCTGCCGCATAGTCACGCTGACTTTCGGGGATAACCGTAATTGCCGCGCCCTTGCGGGGACCCACCTGCGCGCTGCTTGATTTACCTGTAAAGTGCCGTGATCGTAAGACATATGTCGGTTGCGGGGGATGGCAACTCTATGCAAAGTAGCTAAGTCAAGTAAGCCCAGCTCATGGATGGTACCTGCAATAGATGCTGGCGTCGAGGACGGCGATTTCGCCGAAGCTGGGGTTGTGCGGCGACCCTTCGTGATTTACTAGACAGCCAAATGCAGATATGACGAATGAGCAAAGATCTACCTAGACACGATGCTAACTCACACGAATAGCGAACGTAGTCGCGGATGCCTGGG